TGCCAGAGGGTTCAAACACATACCGATGCAGCACTTCCACCAAAATTGCTCTATCAAAGTCCTGAGGTGTATTTTTTACACAGCTTGGGTATTAATATCAAATGCCAAACAGCTACGACAGTCAAAATACATCAAAACAGTTTATTGGCAGGATGAKGCCCAGTGAGGTGTAGATATTAACTCTGTGACCTAGACTGACTCCAGGCTGAATAATTACATTTGATTAATTGATAATAATTTTCTGTTTTCTGATGTTTATGGTGATCATTTATTGTCTTGTGCAGTCTTATATGGTCACAGAACCTTTAGACGTTTTTGTTTCCCTAGAAAGAAATTATTCTGATCAGCAAATCTGTCTCTTTTAAACTCGTTGGGAAATTTGGCAATTACTTCAGTGGATGCAATATGGAACCCATGAGTTATAATTGCAGTTATCAATAATCTGCCATAATATCTACAATTACATTACATTTGCATGCATTAAAAAAGATACCATTTGTGCCTCTGAAGATGAGGTAATGTACCTCTCAGTTTGTATAGCCAGCCAAGTTAAGCACTTGGGGACCGTGTGTATGAAGTGTGTCTTTGCCTGATTGTGTTTCTAGGATACAGCTTGTAATGAAAGATCATGCCTATAAAGCATGATTCCCTCTTCACTCTTCCTTTTGCTCCAGGAGGGGTAGTAACTTGGGTTTTGGTATACACTGTGAGCTACTGACTCTTTCCATGCTCATTGAGCTGCACACATCAGCAGTAGGCAGCTGAGAAATGTTCCTTCCATCCTCTGCCTCTCTGCCCATTAATCCCTCATAATGTGCAAATACAGAAATAAGTGAAGTTCTCGCTCCTTCCTACTCCTTTTCAGAGCCCAAGTTTTATTAGTCCCAGAAATACATTTATTTTATTGAAATGAATAATTGAATAAGCTGTGCTACTAAGTAGGCAAAAATTGTGACTTATGGGCAACCTTCTTAATTCACTGGACAGGAACATAATTGCAGACCAGTTGTGACAAATATCATGAGTCTTCTTTGCTGCTGTCCTCCATCCTGGACTGGACAGAAGACCACAAGGCCAAAAGAACATCTTAGACTGGTTTTCATGCTTTAGGCCCAGCTTGTGACTGAGCCTGACACAGCCAATCCCTCACTCCCCTGGTGGGTTGGGGCTGAGAATCCAACAGGTAAAAGTGAGGGAACTCATGGGTTGASATACAGGCAGTTTAATAGGTAAACCAGAAACTGCACAAGCAATGCAAATCAAAGAATTTATTCACCACTTAATTTGCAGGCAGATGTTCCAAGGAAAGTGTGGCTCCCATCACAGGTGACTGGGAGGACAAATACCACTACTCTGAACATCTTCCTTGTTCTTCTGTCAGCTTTATATGCTGAGCATGTCATCATCTGGTCAGGGAGATCCCTTTGGTCAGCTCTTTGTGGATTTATAGAAGGAACCTGTGAAGTATTCTAGCTGCCTGCATTTCTGTTATTACTCTTCAGCTGTGTTTGTTATTGCATCGCTTGAAATAGGAAGATGCTGACTCCTTGTGGGTTGTTCCACCATCCATGTGATTATGATGTAATTCTGGAAATGTGCAGCTTACTCAAGTGTTAAAAAAAACCCCCACATTTATGCTGTGTATCTTCACTTGCTGAATTGCTTAGCCGTGTGAAGAACTAGATGGAAAAATTCMATACATTTCTAAAGAACTGTAAGGTAGAGAATTTACTTTCTGTGAGATGACATTTTGTTACTTAGCACAGTAGAATTGGCCAGTACCAAGTAGGYTATATGATGCATAAATTATTGGTAATCTCTTAGTCTATCTTGTCCTAAGCATATTTGGGCAAAATATGGAGACTCATTTTAGAAAGTGCTCTAATTTTGCTCTCAGAGGTTGTACACTCACCTGTAATCAAACAATTTCATAAACAATTGCCTGAAATAACAGGTTCAGCATGTCACGTTRGCTGGAAATATCGAGACATGAGTTGTTTGGCRTTTCTTTCCTTTTTYATTTTCTTTTCTTTCTCATTCCTCTAGCTGAYGCTTTTTGCTGTAGAAGCAGAAGCAGGTCCAGCAGAGATAAGATGAAGATCTCTGTTTGAAGTCATCACACAGGGGTTTTCCTACCTTTGGTGCCCGCATGAGACAGATGAGGGRTACGCTCCCGAATGAAAGCAGAGTGTGCCAGCTCCTGTGTGAATCTGTACAGCATGGTGTCAGCTGGTAACAARGCAGCTGCTATCTGAGATATCTCAGCAAACTGCAGTCCTTGCAGTACAGCCTAGAAAGTGATTTTCTGTTAGGGAGGATGTTGGAGGGTTTTAGCAGAAGGAATAAGACTGTGACAAGGGTTAAGTGTCCCACTGTGCTTGCCCCAGGGCTTGAGGGTGGGTGCATTTCAGCTGYTGAGAGGTTTCTCCTGAATCCATGTGGCTCTTGGTGCAATAAGRTGCCAGTGGGTGGTGCTGGGAAGGAGTGGTGCAAACAGCTCCGAGTTCTGGCCATGGATACTTATATCCCAGATGATCTTATGGCACCACCAACTGGTTTGATACATTTTGAAGTCGAGGAAAAGTGGTTTACCTCAGAGATAAAGACACAATGGCATTTTTTCCTTGCAAGCACAAAGAGGTAGAGTTTATTCGCCATGTAAAGAAGTGTGCATCTCTTTGGTCATGGCACAACTGTTGATATTACTCAAACACCAAATTACTTTGAATAACCTGAAACCTGACAGTATGTCACAGCTGTCCCAAAAGACATTACCTRGAGTAGCTTGTTATTTTGAATTAGAAAGCATCTCAGAGGTTCAGAGATAAAAAGTTCTGCTGGTGCATTCAGAGGGAGCTATTTGTCATGCAGTTTTGTATCTTCCATAGACAATCAGAAAACAGCATTTGTGTCCTGAATGTTGAGAGTGTTTCATAATCATTATTAACCAGTGTGGTCATTATGAGCCTGGYTGTTTTAGCCCTTGAGTAACAAAGTTCACTGCTCCATCAAGCTCTGTCATAATCAGCCTTATTATAAAAACATAATATTGTAACCTTCAAAAGCTCCCTGGGCTAGTGCAATAAAAACTGTGGGAATGGACTGAAGTAATCTTTAGGCTAACAGCAGTTGCACTGGGAAAATATAACAATTTTTATCTGTGTAATGTCCATGCTCCCTCCGCATCCTCTTCATGTTCTTCTCAGCAGGACAGAAGCTATCCCTCAGACCACTTTTGGAGCCAAATTAGCTCATCAAAGCAGAAGAAGTTTATAACACAGTATTCACTGCATATTAAATTCCCAATGCACTGGCATTTGATTTCCATTCTTCGGAGTGCTGTCACCATATTTTGAGTATTTCGTTTCAAGGGGAAGAGCTGTTAAGCGTTTCCCCCAAAGTAGCTGATWATTTAATGGCTAAAGATGTCAAGGATAATGAAATAAAAAGGGAGCTAGGCTGTGATTGTCTCTGAGAGGAAAATGCATCTCATTAGAAAGAATTCCCACCAGAGGAGTCCATGGAGTTACATGCCTTACCCCCTTTCTGCCGTTGGGTTGTTGAGTTTGGGGCACAGACAGCATTTGGTGACAGCACATAACTGTGTGCAAACAGTAACTAATCCTGGGCTCCCTGAATGGAGCCTCTGTGAGGCTGCAGGCAAATCAAAGGACTGGCCTGGCTTGCAGCGCTTGAGGAACACGCCATGCAGCACAATTGGGGACATTCACGTTATGAATGTCCCCTTGTGAGCTGTGTGGCGGGAGGCTGAGGGCAGCCGGACTCCACAGGCTCAGGTTTGTGCTCAGCAGAAGGAGCCACCCTTTGGTGTCCAGCAATGGGGACAAACTGTGCTTGCTCTGATCCAAGGATAATTCAGTTGGGTTTCCTGGTGGTTCTGGGAAGAAAAAGAAAATCAATCTCACTACACCAAAGACTTGTATGTGAATTTATACATTCAAGACTGTTTGCAAGAGTACCTTTTTTAAATGGTGTTCTCTACGGACAGATACACATTAGGAATTTGTTGACACTTGGGCATCATCAGCAAAGAGCAAATATRATCAAGAGCCTTTTGCCCAGGCAGTGCATTTTGAAGCAGAGAAAGGAGCTGTTTCAGTGTGAAACACAGTTGCTGTCATTAGAGGATCTACACATTTTGCCAGCCATCCTCACAGTGGTGTCTGAGACACCACAACATTTCCTTGCACTCAGAAGAAGCAAAACAGCTTCCCCAGASAGAGCAATGTGTGGGAAATGTGGGCAAATATCGGTCTGCTTKCAAGGATGGCAAGTGGGTCACTGTCCTCCTGGGTGCAGCTCTGGGTTTGGAGGAGGATTGTGCTGAGATGAGTTATGGAGGGCAGGGCCAGAGAGACTGTCAGGCACTGAAGAGTGTTTCATTGGGTTATAAAACCCCTTAAAAAATATCCCAACATCTGCAGTATATATGGCAGTAGTAGTGCCATAACCACAGAGTATCAGGGCATTTTCTGCAGTCCTAAAATCCATTTTTCTGAGCRGTGCTGTGTCACAGTGAACAGGACTTCTCCCTTTTCTGTGTCTGTCTAGCAAAAAGAGATGAAATRCAAAAAGGCTAAGGAAGTCATATGAATTGAATGATGACTATCTGGTTTTATGTTATATCAAAACAAAACTGATCTGGAATGTCCTTTGATGTAAATTGTCCTAGAGATGTGGTAGAATTTATATTAGCTGAGGTGCCTGTTCCTCTAATTTGTCTAAAATTCATGCTGTATGTGATAAAAGCCAAAACCTCAGCAATTAGTTTTTCACTCGCCCACATCTCTCATCACGCAGATGAAGTGGGAGTCTTTTCCCTTCACATCCTCCTGACAGTCTGTGTTTTTCCCAGCARATATTCGAAGGGAGCTGTGAGGCCTCCCAGCACCTTTGCGAGCAGATTTCTCTYACYGCGCTCTTTTTTCTCTGTCCATCCRTGAGCCCAGCACTGACCAGTGTCGTTTTTCCCCCGACAGGTCTGATTGTGAGGGAGGTGAGCATCGAGATCTCGCGGCAGCAGGTGGAGGAGCTCTTCGGGCCGGAGGATTACTGGTGCCAGTGCGTGGCCTGGAGCTCGGCCGGCACCACCAAGAGCCGCAAGGCTTACGTCCGCATCGCATGTGAGTGCTCCGCTGTAAGGGGGAATTGGGGTGTGTGGGTGAGGGGAATGGAATCTCTGCCCTTTGAGGGGGATATTTCGTTTCCAGCCGCTTGGGCTTTGTGTTTTGTGCAGCTCTTGGTGAGTATTGAAAGTGAGGCCTTCAGGAGTTTCAGGCTGTTCTCTTCTTAAGACCTAAACCTCATTTTTCTCCTGTGTGGTATCAAAACTAGTATTTACATAACCCAGTTTATGTCCCAATAAAAGTAGRTAATGAGTAGATTCCTTAACACAGCAAGCTATGACAAGAGGTGATAGCTGTTCTTATCACAACATGGCTGAGGCTGGAAGGTGCCTTTGGAGCTCATCTGATCCAGCTCCTGGCTCAAGCAGGGCTGCTCAGAGCCAGTTACCCTTGGCTGTGTCCCAATGGCTTTTGAGTGTCTCCAAAAAAGGAGACTCCATCACCTCTGGGCAGCCTGTGCCCCTGTTCTGTCACCCTCACAGTGAGAAAGTGTTGCCTGATGTTCAGAGTGAACTTTCCACATTTCATCTTCGTTCCATTGCCCATCACTGGGCTTCATGAAAAATCCCTGTCTATGCCTTCATTGTCCTGTTTTTACCCATGGATGGGGTTCCTATGAGACTTCTCCTTTCCAGGATGAGCAGCTCCAGCTCTCTTGGCTTTTTCTCMTAGGAGAGATGCTGCTGTCATCTTTGTGGCYCTTTGSTGRACCCTCCAGTATGTCCAYGTGTCTCTGGWACTGGGGAGCCCAAACTGCTCCCAGCACTCCAGCCGTGACCTCCAAGGGCTGAATGGAGGGCAAGGATCAGCTCCCTAACCTGTTGCCAATACTTTTTCTCCAGAAATTTAGCTTGCAGACCAGAACAGCATTAGCCTTATTTGCTAACTTTTGCCCCATTGTCAACTTGGTGTCCACCAGAACACCCTGGTTCTTTTCTGTAAAGCTGAAWATATGTATCACTTGCAGTCAGATATTAAAGCTGCTGTTCCCTAACAAATAAAAAGAGTGTGTGTTTAGCATATCATGTGATCAGATTGGTAATATGAGTTTGAAAGTGGTCATCTCAGCCTTAGCATTTCATCATTGTTATTCATGGCTAYTAACCTCAGTATTTATTTGGAACCATTCCCAGCTTAGACTCCAAGAACACAGGGCAACCAGTTCCCTGAAAACAGATCTTCATTTGACTGTACAAATATTTAATGTTCATTAATTTTCAAAGAAGTGCTTTTCTTGGTAATAGAGTAGTCACACTGGGGACTCCCCATTTCTCTTTCACATGATGAAATACTGTTCTGTATAATAGGAACAAAATATATCATSTAGAATTGCCTCTCTTCCACTGCTTTCACCTCAGCAAAAAGACATTTTGTGAGGAAAAGGTCATTAGAAGCTGGGTTTGCAGCATACTTATATTTCCTGTACAGTGCCTAACAATTTATAATGGGAAAAGAGAATTCTTCCAGCTAAATAAACCTTTTCACAGGCACATTAGAGGAAGGACTCTCTGTCATTATAACTCTCCATTAAGGGTTTGATTCTCCTTCTGTTCTTGAGAAAGCACTRCTTGATTAAATCCTCAAAGAGGGTGTAACTTCTGTGTAAACACCCAGATGCAAATCTCAGAGGTGYCATTTAAATACCAGATTTTTAATGCTTTTAGTCCAGGTAACTGACTGGAAATAGGAACCTGTACTTTTGAGTTCAGAGCTGCCCTCAGAGAAKAATTTCCCCAGGGCTAAGGGGAATTAAAACTATTGTACAAGACAGTCTTTGTGAAAAAGCAGAAATGCCATTACATGTGTGCATATTGCTTTCCCTYGGCAGGAAGCTTTCCAAAACTTTAAGGATTTTCCTTTTTTTTTGTACTGAAACAAAAGAGAATTATTTCAATTCTTTTTTTCTTCCAAGCAGTCAGSACTTCAGAGAGGGTTAGCAGTGTTTGAACAGGTTTTTTAAATTATGACTCTACAGTTAGCTCATTCAGTAGATTTTCAGGTAGCCCTTGACAGATGACCATTAAATTAACACATTTTGGAAGTATTTTATATATRCTTAAGTGTATTTTATTTGATATTTAAGTAGCATTTGTGTGCTGGCATACCTGGGCACCTAATTTCTGTATAACACATAATCATTATGTATGAATGTAAGTTGTTTTATATCAACTGACATTTCTTCCCAGATGTCCACATTTCCATTGAAGGTACTCATAACACAGAGTTTGCTTATTTTTCTTACTATATTTTGGAAAGAGGGGAACAATCAGTTCAGTGATTTTTCCAGAGTCTCGGTGGCTTTTTTTTTTTTCCCCCAGAAAAGCCTAATTAAATAAACACCAGGGAGTTTTCTAGGCCTGTAATAACTCAAGTGTGGCTTTGTGTTTTACTGAAGCTTTTTTAACCTCTTGTCCCTGAATTTGGGGTTCTTGGGCATCTGTAACATAGGCAATTCACTTAGGCTTCTTGGGCTAAAAGTTGAAGTATTAGTCCTTCAATCCTTGGATTTTAAACCAGCAGAAAAAACACATTCTCCGCAAAATTTTCCAAGCCCAGGTTTCTATAWAATTTCTCAGGTAACAYAGGYCAATATTTTAGGAATTCAGACAGAYGATGTGGGGAATATGCCTTACTTTCTGAAGTKCCTTCATCTGCAAGATCACTGTTTTAAACTCAGTGTTTTAAACTCAGTTACACCAACACTCATYGTGAAAGTGACGACTTTCACTTCTTAGGACTGAATCCGCACTGGCAATGTAATATTTGTTTCATAATCAATTTTCAACACGGTGAATATTCTAATGATTACACAGTTTGCTGTGGGGCTGGGGCACAGCATAGGGCCTATGCARTATTTATTAATCCAGGAAATCAAGGATGTCCAAATCTTAAGAGGGACACGAGAGTCCATCTCTCCAGATCAGTCTGCAGCTATAGCTGCTTACTTGTTACTGGTGCAGTCTTCCCTTTTAATTGGCACAAGAGTGAGCAGTGACACCTTTAGGAAAGGTGAGGGGCCAATGGAGCATGTAAACTGCTTAAGTGGAATTGTTTATCTTAATACCCAAACCTGGTGATTTTATCTTGACAGGTACAACTGTAGCATAACTAGCCATGTCCAGCACATTAAGAAAAGCTTCTCTCCTCTTCCTCTCTCCCTCTCTCTCTCCCCCTCTCTCTCTCCTTCTCTCTCTCTCCCCCTCTTTCTCCCTCTCCCTTTTCATCTCCTTCTCCTTTTCTCCTTATCCCCTTTCTGTCTTTTCTCACCTATGCCCTTTACATCTTTTGCTGGAATTATTGTGTCCTCTCAAGGGCTGGAACTCCACTCCATTAAAACAAACAAACAGAAAAATAGCACCCAGCATCACTGTTCACTGAGCGTGTAATGGAATTAACTGAAAAGTAATTTGAAAGTGTGAAAAATGTGCATCCTGGAAAAGCAGCTTGTGTCTGTTTAATACAGGGTCAGGCATGTGTCAGAAAGTACATAACAACCTGGTCAATGAAAGTTCTCTGYGAGAATCAATTGTGACATTGCTTTGACCGAGGGCTCCAGTTATCCAGGAAAGGAATAATCTATAARTATGGAGTAAAGATTCCGCAGGTTTTCAAGGGTTGCCCATGCTGGAAATGTAAACAGGAAAAGAGTCAGAGTCTAAAGACAACATTCCAGCTTCTAAGTGTTCATGGCTTTTAATGGCAAACCTCTGTTGCACTCCTACCTCAGGAGTATGCTGGGAAATGACTCCTGTCTGTGCAGGCTGTTTCTGCAAAGGCATGTTTTTCCTGTTTCATGGAATTCATGGTCCTGGGGCACTGGTCTCCCTATGAGAGCAGAGCTGAGCATTTCATCCTCCTAAATGAGCAGATTTGCTGAGATTAATTTTCACTTTGCCATTTTAGATATATCAGAAACCAAAAAAGTAGTGACACCTAATGTATGAATCTTGGTAGACCTGGAAAGAAACAATAAATTTTCYGTGATATTAGCCTAGGAAAGTGCTAAAACACATTTCCTATTTATTCTCACATTTCTGATTTATTCTAGGTCTATCCTATCCAAGCTTTAGGAGTCACTAATATGTTTTGATACAGTTTTCCTGCTCAATTAAAAAATTTTCCCGTTGTGGAAAGGAGGACAGAGGAGGGAGATGGGGCAGCTTCACCTTTGGCTGTAAAAATGCAATTGAATATATAGTTTTAATGTGAATTTGATGATGTCATTGAGCAGAYAAAACCTAACAGGGCAAAATTCCTGTTAAAACAATGAATGAGACCTGAGTCTGTRCAACCAAAAGTAGAGTAAAACCCACTGGAAAATACATCTGATAAAGACKAAACAATAGCTGCAGGATTTGACCTAATTTCTAGATCAGATAATAAAGGGGCGGCTAAGACAAATTGCTCTGAGCCCCTGTGCATAGAGCAACCTCACTTTTCATTTGCACCACTTCAGTGTTGCTGTAGATTCACTGACTTCATGATGTTAACCCATGCTGTCCTTGAGAAAATACAATTAAAAAAGCTTTTTCTGTAATTTCTATTACCTGATTATTATTTTTTTTGTGTAATGGGTGGGAATAGTTTGTTTTTTTTTTTTCTTTTCCTTTATTCATTATCTTAAAATTGGAATTTAAAAAAAAAAAAAAATTAGAAAGCCCTGATGTAGTAAGCAACTGTGCTTGTTAATCTCTTTCATAATTTTGTACAAGTTTCCCATGTACTTATCTGAAAGCCTTTATTCTCCCAGACATTTTTTCAAAGGCACACTGTTAATATATGCATGTCAGATACTGTATGCTGATAAGATAAATGAAGTACAGAGAAATAAATTGGTTCATCTACCGGTTTATCTCCGCTTACAAGGGGTGTGCAGTTATGCAAAGAAGCAGAAATGAAAAAGAAATAATCACATATTCTTTACTGATACTTGTTTATCTCACCTTTTAGTGCTGGAGCTCATGTTCCATGTCACATGGCTGCAGTGCCTTTCTTCC